AACCAGAGTAGAATAGTTGCAGCCGCTCCTCTCCTCTACCCTCCACTCGTCAATGTTGCCCCAGCAGATTCAGAAACCACAGATCCGAGAGATGCTAAACGTAAATGGCGCTTCTAACTCGCCGTCATCGTCGATACGAGCCCGCCCTGCTATCGCCAGACCTCCATCACCGTCGTCAGGCCTCCCTTCTGCAACGCGTCTGCCTCCGTCGTCCGTCGACGACATCTTGCCGCCGCGTCGTCGTTGCCATCACCGTCGCCAGGCCTCCCTCCTGCCGCCGTTCTTCATCGCCATCAAAGCCGCACGCCACCTCTCGCGTCCACCATCATCGATCCACAACGAAAGAGTGGAAATGGGAGCAGTGGAAAGATTGATGGGAAAGGGGCAAACACGGCGTAAAGATTGCAGGTAAAGGGGTGAAGGAATTAGGGTTCTTTTGACTCGTCGGCGGAAGGAATTAGGGGTCGCGAGCTGCGGAAGGAATTAGGGGTCGACAGCATGAGTGGTGGGAGAGGAGAGAGAATGAGAAATATTTGTGATTTTTTATTTATTTTTAAATTAAAATATGACATGGTATTCATGTGGCAAGTGTTGTTGAGTTGGTGATGATGTGTCGGTTAAGTTGACAGCCATGTAAGCATTCCGTTAATTTGACTAACGGTGTGAGTGACGCCGTTAAAGAATGTAACGGAAATGGCTATATTTGTCATCAAACATTCAAAATTCTGGCTATATCTGGTATTTCGCCAAAAATGGCTATTATTGTCACAATCGTCAAAGTTTTGGCTATGAAAGTGTATTTTGCCTTTAGGGATTTTGGATAAAAAATGAAAACAGAAAAACAGGGGAAAAAGTTCTAAGATTAATTTCCTTACCTTTGCTATAATGACTGCTTTTGTTCTGGGAATACAATGAAGACAAGGAAAAAGAAAAGGAAGAACAAATGCTGAGGCAGATGACTGCGAACAGCAAAACACAAGAATAAAGATTGACCCAATTCAATCTTCCCACTCCTATCTACCCAGAAGACACTTCACTTGCAGAATCAGAGACTAATGATTGAAAGAACTGAACCCTTGTACAACTCAATATACTTTTTCTTAGGTTGCAAATCGTTAATTTTTTCAGGATATCTGGAGGGTTTAAATACTAATTGCAACGGGGGATCCGTTGGAGTAGATCTGCTTTTGAGAAGCACAAGGTTGTAGCCATGGATGGAGCTTCGAGAAAGTAGTCTTCCTTTTGAGTCTTTTTGGATGAGTGGCGATGGAGAGATGAGTTGATGTTCTGATGCGTTGAAGGAAATGGGCGACAGAGACGAAAGGAAGCAACTGCTGCGGAACGGTGTCGTTGGAGAATAGAGGAGCAGCGGCAGCATTTTGGTGGAGAGGGCAGCGTAAGTAGCTATTGCGGAACGGCGCCGTCTTGTAGGTTCAACATTTCCCCCCTTCGACCTTGTCATAATTGCCAAGATTTCCTGTAAACAAAAGCAAGCAGCACAGCGAAACACAGTATATGCTAGCAAAAGGATGGAAACGGATAGATAAATAGTAGCAGCAAACATTGTCAAGAGTTATAGGGCTACATCCAAAACCCATCTGGTCAGACCATATTCCAAGCAGGGCAAAACATCAGGAGTTTGAAGCAAAAGAAGCAATCACACACTGATTGCAAATGAACACGAAAATGCTAACCAACAGTGCAAAATGTTCAGAAAATGTAAATGCAGCAGCCAACTAAGTTCCCCCTGCGAACATGCATGGATCTAGGTGGAAGGCGCAGGTGAAGGAGATTCAGGCTCAGCTTCAAACTCTTCATCATCAAAGGATTCCGAGGATGGGTTATCAAGATTGAGGCGAAGGCCTTGATCACGACAAGTGCGAGATGGTCCAGCAGCTGTGTTAGGTGAATGTGGGCGTGGGATGGAGCTAGGAACATGAAAGCCAAGGCAGGAGAGAACATTCCTATGTTGATATTGACAAGGAGTTGAGTAACAAAACCTCCAAACGGCAGAGATCCATGAAACTGTTCATCCCCAGGAACTATCAGAGCCCCAAATAGAAGGGATGAGTAATCAAGTTTGTGACCAGCTGTGGCATGAGACAGAATCCAAACATCTAGTGGTAAAACTTGGTCTCTAGAGAAATATCGAGGCAAGAGCACTCGAGTAAGGTAATAATGAAAGATACGAAGCTTAGGGTAGAGGCGAGAGGCAAGAAACACTTCAAAAGTGGAAGTTGCTGAAAACTTAGATCCTTCCATATTCAAATTAAAGTCGAATTTCCACATTTCTGATGGATGAGAAAGTGTGGTACCAGCAGCTGGAAAGTTCAATAAGGAACCAATATATATGGTAGGGATGGTGAGGAGATGACCATAAACCAAAGTAGAGAATTTTTTAGCTTGAATCCCAAGACAGCGAAGGTTACTATAGAATAACTTCACTTGCTCAGGACAAGCAGCCATGGCAAGTCTGTTGACAAGGAACTTCCACCCTAAACCCTTGATAAGAGGCATTATATCCATGTCGTACGGGACAAATTCCAGAGGATCAATGATGATTTGAAAAGCAAGGGGGTGATCAGCATAAAATTCAAGATGGCGATGTCTATTGATGAGACAAGGCTCCCTGAACAGATTCCAGTGTAGGTGTGGAGAAGGCGAGGTTGACCATCCATGGATGGAAGGAGAAGAGTTCTGATAGAATGACAGTGTCTGAAGGTGAGAAGAGGGGTGTGTGAATATGGAGGATGAAAGGATGTCAATATATAGAGTGCCTTGGATGGATGCAAGAGTGATGCAATAAATTCAAAGAGAAAACCAAGACACGCATGCAAATTGAATTAAAGAAGAGGTTAGAGAGAATTAATGCATATGATACTTTTGTAAAGTAAAAAGGAACGAAAAGCATGCATAAAAAATGTATTGGAAATAACAGAACTTCAAATGTATTGGAAATAACAGAACTTCAGAGAATATGCTTAAGGAGTTAATGCACATATCAGGTGAAAAGATTTTAATCCAATCTCAGTATACAGCTCAAGAAATCGATCAGTGGGCAAGGGTTTTGTTAAGAGATCACTTAGCTGACTTTCGGTTGGAACAAATATTAGTTCAATGTGTCCAAGGGATACAAGATCACGAATGTAATGATGTTTTATTTCAATATGTTTAGTTCGTGACTGTTGGACGGGATTTTTAGTCATGCAAATGGTGCTAGTATTATCACAGCAGATAGGTATATTAGTGAAACTGAATCCATAATCATGTAGTTGTGATTTCATCCACATAAGTTGGGTACAACAACTTCCAACAGCCATGACAGAGCAACTGCCCCTTGTTTTTTGCTCAACCATGACACAAGACAAGGACCGAGAAATTGACTAGACCCTTAAGTACTTTTTCGTTCAGTGATGCTACCGACAAAGTCAGAATCACTAAAACCGATTAAGTCAAAATTATCGTATAAGGGATACCAAAGTCCAAGTGTAATTTTCCCTTTTAGATATTTAAAAATTTGTTTAACATCAGCAAAATGAGACTCCTTAGGAGACGATTGAAATCGTGCAAAAAGGCCAACACTAAATTGAATGTCAGGTCTGCTAGCAGTTACATAGAGGAGTGATCCAATCATTCCTCTATATTTCATTTCACAGACAGAGATTCCAACTTCATCTTTATCTAATTTTAGAATGGCAGCCATAGGGGTTTTGATTGGATTGCAATTCTCTATATCAAATTTTTTCAGCACTGTTTCAATGTATTTGGATTTAGAAATGAAGATTCCAGATTGTAGTTGTTTGATTTGAAGACCAAGAAAGTAAGAGAGTTCACCCATCATGCTCATTTAAAAAACAGTTTTCATTGAAGTACAAAATTCAGAACAAATGGATGAATTTGTAGAACCAAAGACAATGTTATCAACATAGATTTGAACTATTAAGATCTCAGAATTTTCTTTCTTGATTAAAAGTGTTTTTTCTACACCACCTTGCTCAAACTTGTTGTTAGAAGAAATTCAGTAAGTTTTTCAAACCAAGCACGAGGGGCTTGCTTTAGACCATAGAGGGCTTTAGATAATTTATAGACATGATCAGGAAATTCAAAATCAACGAAACCCAGAGGTTGACTAACATAGACTTCTTCCTTAATATCACCATTTAGAAACGTGCTTTTTACGTCCATTTGAAACAAAGGAATTTTCATGTAGCAAGCAAAGGCACATAGCATTCTAATCGATTCAATTCTAGCAACAGGTGCAAAATTTCATCGAAGTTAATTCCTTCTTCATGATTGTAACCTTGTACAACTAATCTAGCTTTATTTTTAGTTATGATTCCTGATTCATCAGTTTTATTGCGATATATCCATTTGGTGCCTATGATTGTCTTACCTAATGGTTTGGGGACTAATTCCCAAACTTTCAGCCTAGCAAACTGAAGCATTTCTTCTTGTATTGCATTAGTCCATTCTTCATCATTCAATGCTTCTTTATAATTCTTAGGTTCAATTAATGAAACAAATTCATATTGGCAAGGAGTGTACTTAGCTTGAGTCTTTATTTTGTCATTGATATCGCCCAGAATGAGAGACTTCGGGTGCCTTTTTCGGATGTGGGCATGAGCTTCTAGTTTGTTTGCAGGAGGATCTGTAGTTGCTGTTACATGTGTTGTTGCTGTCATATGTAGGGCTGGTATTCGGTAAACCGGTATTCGGTATACCGGGTATCAAACCGGTTATAATCGGTATTCGGTATACCAAATACCGTCGGTATCGGTATTCGGCTGCACTTCTTGGCCAAACGGTATACCGAATACCGAACAGTCATATACCGATGGTAAATCGGTATACCGAATACCGAAAAAAAAAGGAAACGACAACGTTTGAAATTGGGGGTGGAGGGCGTGTAAACCCTAAAATTAATTCAACATCTGCTTGCAGCCCAGACCGGCCCCTCCACCTTTCCTCTTCGACTTCAACTCTTCCTCTCTAGCCCGCCGAGGCGAATTCCAACGCCACCACAGCACGCCCCGGCGTTCTTCCCCGGCGGTCTTCCTCACAGATCTCCTGTTGTGCAGCTTGGCGGGCAGACCCTCACCGTTGCCCAAGTCGTCGCCATTGCCTCCGGCGCCGGCGCCACCGCCGTGGAGCTGTCGGAGGAGGCCCGACCGAGGGTGAAGGCCAGCAGCGATTGGGTCATGGAGAGTATGGAAAAGGGGACGGATAGTTATGACGTCACAACTGGGTTTGGAGCCACTTCGCACAGGAGGACCAAACAGGGCGGCGCACTTCAGAGGGAACTCATTAGGTAAACTTCAATTCTCATTTTCTCTGAACCATGTAGTTTAATTCATCCTTAATTTCTTCAATGGGCTTGACTCGGGAGAATTGGGGAGGAATTTGATTGATTAGTTGAGTAGTTAGAACCTGTTTTCCCCCATTAGGTGAAGGGTCGGTTTAATTTGAGTGTGATGGTTACTGTTTTTCCCAGCCACCCTTGATGATGATTCCCTCCCCTACTGATTTGTTAACTTTCTTTTGTTGATTTTGGTGAATGGACGAAGGTAATAGGCTCTTTCTCGAGGTTATAACAGCAGCCAATTCTCAAGTCTCAACAATCAACACGAAGAACTAGAAGAAGCATCATCAGCCATCAAGTAGCATGTGAGAAATAGCATGTGTGAATAATGAATTAGATGATTTAAGTGATATTGTGAAATTTGATTGTTATTTTGAATTTAGGGTGGAGAGTGGAGGAGTGCGAGAGAAGGGGGAAGTTGGGGTTGGAACAGAGTAGGGGATGGGGGAAGAAGTAAAGAATTGAGGGGGAAGTTGGGGTTGGAACAGAGTATAGGGGATGGAGGAAGAAGTAAAGAATTGAGGGGTAAGTAGAGAGGGGGGAAGTTGGGGTTGGAGGTTTCCATTTTCCATTTGCTTTGAACTTGGAATTGGTGGGAGTTTTGTTTGATTGCTTATTAAACATAGAATTGGTGGGAGTTTTGTTTGGTTGCTTATTAGACATATATTCAGCGGTTTACTGCTTTTTGTTTGTGTTTGTTTATGCTTAAGTTTGATCATATATTCATATGTTTTTTTGCTAGATTGGAGCATTTGGTTTTTAATTTTTATTAACATATCGAAGTCAAATTGTTATACTTTTGTAGGAAAAAACCTTCTCGTGGTCGTTCTCGTGGAGGAGGTAATTCGAAGGGTGGATCCCTTCCTCCTCGTTCCACTTCTAAAAAAGGCGGCACTTCCAAAAAAACACCTTCTACTGGTGTTACTAGGACTAATGTGGATCCTTCTCCATCCCCAACTGAAGCAAGTGCTGCAAATCTAGCACCTACCACAAGTGTGGCAAATCCAACCCCTACGGCTACCACAAATCCAACACCTACTGCAGGTGGTGAGCCAAAGGGAAATGTGAAGAAGAGAGGAGGAAGGAAGAAGACATCGAAGTGGTGGGCTTATTATGATCATGTATTGGTGGACGGCTACCCAAATGGAAAATGCAAACAATGTGGTGCTTTGATCAAAGCACATTCCATCAACAATGGGACTAGTGGCTTGAAAACTCATCACTTGGCATGCGAGAGGAAGAGGAAAGAAGCTGGTGGTCAGTCATTATTGAACTACCAACCTTGGGATGGTGAGGTAGGCTCTCTTACTCCATGGAAGTTCGATCAAAAGAAAGCTAGGACTGCATTAGCTATCATGATAATATTGGACGAGCTTCCATTTAGATTCGTTGAGCGTGAAGGGTTTAAGAGATTTATGGCTATAACACAGCCTTTGTTTGTGATTCCTGGAAGACAAACAATAAGGGAAGATTGTTACATCATATTTCTTGAGAAGAAAGAGTTGTTAACTGAATTTTTCAAGATGAAGTGCAAAGGAAGGATTTCAATTACCACAGATACTTGGACTTCTGATAACAACCAGAATTTTATGTGTGTGACTGCTCATTTTATTGGGAGTGATTGGAAGTTGCAGAAGAGGATATCCTGGCAGTTCCAATCTCTTCAGTTTCATTAGAGTCTGCTTTCAGTTGTGGAGGTAGAGTGCTTAGTCCGTTTAGGTCTTCTTTGAACTCTAACATTGTAGAGGCCTTGATTTGTACCGAAGATTGGATACGATATGAATGTGGCAAGAATTCAGGCCAAGTTGATGATAAAGAAGAAGATCAAGAATAGATTGATTTTGAAAGAGGTAATAGTTCTTATTTGTTTTTAGTTATTCACTCACTTTATTTCCAAGATAATTGATGAATTCTAACAATTTGTTTTTCCCCCTTAAATTTAGTCACTAGTACCTTTGAAGCTCGAATGGAAAGTGTAGGTGATATGCCAAGTGAAGGCAGAGAACATAATATACCCATTGTGGTTGAGGAGGAGGATGGTGAAGAAGAAGAAGAAGAAGAAGAAGAAGAAGAAGAAGAAGAAGAAGAAGAAGAAGAAGAAGAAGAAGAAGAAGAAGAAGAAGAAGAAGAAGAAGAAGAAGAAGAGGAGGATGATAATGATGTTCTTCTCAACACTTTGAAGAAGCAAGGTTGTGCCGATGTTGGCGGTTCGCGCCATATTAGCGATGGAGGAGCTAGTGGTCAATCTTAGTGGTGTAGTTATTATGCTATCTTTATGTTGGAGAATTTTATTTTTAAGTTGGAACTTGTAAGTGTAACTTATGTTGTGAGAGTGAGACTACGTTGAATTGTTGATTGTTGGATGATGGAATTTGTGAAATATTTCATGTTTGAGACTATGTGCTTATGTAGTAGTAATGCTATATTTATCTACTAACTACTTGTGTAGAATGTAGTTGACATTAACAATGTCATTGCCTAATGGAGTATTGGACTATTGGTAAATCGTTCATTATAAGTGAGATGTACTTGTAAGCTGTAAGGGTCTATTAGATAAACAACTAATTAACTAATTACTAATTACTATTAACTAATAGTGAATTGTTGATTAATAAAACTTTCTAGACGATAGCAATACAATATAGTAATAATTAATAAACATACAAAATTATTTACATCATTTAATTAAACAAAATTCAGAAAAATAAAAAGAACAAAAAGCCCAAAAGAGGCCACTCGGTATCGGTATTCAGTCGGTATACCGGCTCGAAAAAATAATCTCAATGCATTGACCGGTATTCGGTATACCGGTATTAATACCGGATACCGACTATTCGGTATCTGGTATACCGGATAACATTCGGTATCGGTATTCGGTGGGTACACAATTTATCCGGTATACCGACCGATTACCAGCCCTAGCCATATGTGTAGTTGCTATCTCATGATTATCTTCGTCATGATTCATTGTGATTTCCAAATATGCTACTCCTTCCTTCTCTACAGATTGGTTAGTGCATAGATTTGGAAAGAAAGGACTTGTAAAATCAACTTCATTGATAGATTTTGACTCATCAAATTTTACAAAAAACATATTCTTCAACTTTTCTGCACACAGTATTAAATACTCGAAATGCTTGTCCCTTTATTGAATAACCCACAAATATGCACATATCAGATTTTGCATCAAGTTTTCCTCGTCGGTCTTTGGTATTCAGCACATAAAATTTGCAGCCAAACGGATGGAAGTAGTTTAACTTAGGAGATTTGTTTTTGAGAATTTCGTATGGAGTTTTGTTTAATCCTTTCCTAATTAAGACACGATTGATGACATAGCAAACTGTATTAACAGCTTCAGCTCATAGATTTTTAGGTTAATTATACTCTAGAAGCATAGTTCTAGCAGTTTCTATCATCATTCGGTTTTTGCGCTCAACAACTCCATTCCGTTGAGGAGTTCTTGGATCTGAAAAAGAATGCACAATGCCTTTTTCATTACATAGAGTTACAAATTCCTCACATATGAATTCTCCTCCATTATCACTACGAATAGTTTTAATGTGATTTGAATTATCATTTAACACTTGAGCAACAAATGTTTTGAATTTAGAAAATGCTTCATCTTTAGAGGCCAGAAAGTAAACCCATGTGAATCTAGAATAATCATCTACAAGCACAAAAACATATGATTTTCCACCAAGGCTTTGAACATTACATGGGCCAAACAAGTCCATGCGAACAAGTTCATAGATAGATGAGGAAGTTATATCGGGTTTTCTTTTGAAATGCTTCTTTGAATGTTTTCCAGCAGTGCAAGCATCACAGAAAAAGTTCGATTTGTCTTTTAAAATTGGTAAACCTCTTGCAGAATTTGATTTTGACAGTTTTGCAAGTTTCGGCAGCCCTATATGACCTAATTTTCTATGCCACAGTGACTCAAGATTTCTTGCATTGGCTTGGAAACATGTTCATTGAATGATTCAAGGTTGTTATGATCAACAATATACATGTTATCCTTCTGAGTACCAAAAAACATAAGTTTTCCATCATGAATTCTTTCAATTTTGCACACTGATGACTCGAAAACAACTCTATTACCAGTCTTACACAATTGACTAATTGAAATAAGATTAAGTTTCAGACCATTAACAAGAAGAACATCACTTATGGTAGGAAAATGATGTTTCCCTACAATACCATTTATGAACACCCTACCATTTCTATCATCACCGAAAGTAACCTTACCTCCCTTTTTATATGTAAGTGAAGAGAACAAACCTTCTTGACCATTCATGTGGTGGGAGCACCCACTGTCAAGGTACCAAATATTTTTAGAAGCTCCTGGATTCTGCAGACAAAACTATAGATTAGAGCATTTTGGTACCCAGTAAGTTTTGGGTACTGATTTAGCAATTAATTTATGCTTTGTGAAACAGAAATGTTCAACATGTCCAAGTTTGTGGCAGAAAGAACATTTAAAAATAGTGGGATAGTACTTTTAGGATGATTATGTCTTCTATGTCATGATGCATAGTATGATGGAGCCAAACGATGATTAGGTAGAGAGTAAGTAACCGTATTAGTTCTAGGAACTACGTTTAACTTGTTTTTGAGTCGGCTATTTTCATCATTGAGGTCAATAATTCGCCTATCAAGAGAAATTTTAATATCATTCTGACAGGAAATTGATTCCTTCAAATAATCAATCTCCTAGTTTTTTTGTCTGTAGTTCAGTCATAATCAAATCGTATCTACTTTTTAACAAATTGCATTCTTTTTGCAGATTAGATGGGGCATATGCATAAAATCAGTTTTGGACCTAGGATTATCACATTCAGAATCGGAATAAGAAGTTACCTTGTGACCAAAGACTGGTTCTCCATTTTCAGTAGATGATCCAGAAACATTTGTAGCAGATGCCATGAGGGCAAGGGCATCCTCACTATATGAGTGATCGGAGATGGCATCACTCCAAGAAGTAGCAAGTGCCTTTTCCTTGCTCTTAGAATTAAAAGGACATTTGGATCTATAATGACCCATTTTTTCACATTTATAACAAATTGTGGATTCACCAGCAGGTTTTTCATGTTTTTTTTATCAAGATTAAACCTTTCAAGATGAGATATTTCACTGGAAGAGTTAGACGAATTATCAATTGGTTTTCTAGAAGACCTTTTAGTATCTAGAAAGGAGTTTGTAAACTGAAAATCAGATTTTCTTTGATTTTGATCCCTCTTGTATTTCAGCATTATGTGAAATCGATTTCCTAGCAAGGCTAGTTCATTTTCAAACTCATCATCCAAATCATCATCAGAATCAAATCGGTAATCTTGAGTTTTAGATTTAAATGCAATGTTTTTCTTCTTCTTATTATCTTATCTATTCATCTGGTTAACAACTTCCTCATGACTCAAAAGAGAACCAATGAGTCTTTCAACCGAAAGAGTGTTTAAATCACGAGCTTCTTCAATTGCAGTTCGTTTAGGCATCCATTCACAAGGTAAAGATCTCAGTAGCTTTCTTACTAGTTCTTTACTAGAAAACGGTTTGCCTAAGCCTTTGAATCTGTTTATCAAGTCATTAAAACGCTTGTACATTTCATAAATGGATTTTGCAGAAAACATTTCAAAGTTTTCATACTCATTTAGTAACACGTCAATACGAGTCTCCCTTACCTCAGACGTACCTTCATAAGTGGTTTCAAGAGCTTTCCAGATGTCCTTACCGATTTCACATCTTGCTAGTTGACTCATTTCGTCGGGGCTCCGGGCAGAGAAGAGAATGTGCATTGCTCGTGAATCCAACTGGGCGGATTGCTTCTGCTCGTCAATCCATGAGTCTTCCTGATCTTCGTCCTCGTCAACCGGTCATTCTTGAACAATACGCCAGAGATCGCTATCAATGCCTCGGAGGTAAAGTCTCATTCTCTTTTTCCAGACTGTATAGTCTGTGCCATCAAACTAGGGCGGATTTGTGCTTGCTGAGTATCCAGACGATGAGGTCGAACCAGCCATGTTGCCTTGAGGATTTTAATCCTAGTGCCAAGGAACCGGCTCTGATACCAATTGAGATTCTAAGATTGGGTTTGAAACTATTTTGGGATTTTGGATAAAAGATGAAAAGAGAAAAACAGGGGAAAAAGTTCTAAAATTGATTTCCTTAGTTTTGCTAGGTTGCAGTCATTATGACTGCTTTTGTTCTGTGAATACAATGAAGACAAGGAAAAAGGAAAGGAAGAACAAATGCTGAGGCAGATGTAGGGGGGCATTCGGTCGGTTCGGTTTTCTAAAATTGATATCCTTAGTTTTTCTAGGTTGCACTCATTATGACTGCTTTTGTTCTGTGAATACAATGAAGACAAGGAAAAAGGAAAGGAAGAACAAATGCTGAGGCAGATGTAGGGGGCATTCGGTCGGTTCAATTAAAACCGAACCGAATTTATGAATACCGGTCCCCGAATTCTCCCAAACCCGAAACCAAATTCAAACCGAATTTTAATTCGGTTCGGTCGATTTAAACCAAATTATAATTCGGTTCGGTTCGGTTTTATACACAAAACCGAAATTGAGAGGCTACTTGTATTTTATCACTTTTAAATTATTTTTCACCCTTAATATAAACAATAAATATGTAATTATATGCATCATCAATTATAAAATCAAACTTTTCAACACATAAGTCATAAAATATTTCAAATATTTAAGACTAAAAACAAATACAAACATAAAAATCCACCATTTGAGCTTGCAATTATAGTATTTCGGTTTTTCGTTCGGAAATTTGGTTCGGTTGAAAGAACCCTGATTTCCGAAATATCCATATTTTTCTTCCGAATTCCAAACCGAATAGCATTAGTTCGGTTTCGGTTCGGTTTAATTTGGTTTCGGTTCGGTTCGGGTTTACCGAACCGGTTGCCCACCCCTAGGCAGATGACTGCGAATAGCAAAACACAAGAATAAAGATTGACCCAATCCATCTTCCCACTCCTATCTACCCAGAAGACCCTTCACTTGCAGAATCGGAGACTAAAGATTGAAAGAACCGAACCCTTGTACAAATCAAGATACTTATTCTTAGGTTGCAAACCGTTAACTTCTTCAGGATATCTAGAGGGTTTAAATACTAATTGCAAGGGGGTTCTGACAGAGAAGAAATGCAGAAGTGTAGCAATCCTCACTGGTTGCGGATTGTGATGGATGAAGACGGCGTCGTTGCAGAAGAAAGGAGAAGAACCTTTGCTGAAGAACTAAAGAGAACGGCAGCGTTTTAGATTAGTTCAGTTAGCCGTTAATTTACTGTTTGTTTAAATCAAAGAACCAATGATGTAAGGACACGTTTCACGTTTCTGTTAATTACAAAAGTAGCTATAAAAGCTACAGAGAGCTCAGAATACAACTGAGCTTTTCCTCCAAATCCATTTCTTCTTTACAATTTCTACATGGTATCAGAGCAGCACAGACCCTAGGGTTTGAGTCTGCGTAGCAACAATGTCAGGTGAGCAGTCGACTCCGCCGCCTGGTGGTCAAGGAAGAGGCAACAACAACAGTGGAGCTTCTTCTCTCAGTGGAGTTCAATTTGGCTCCTTTGGTCAACAACAGCAACAGCAAACAGAAGTCATCACGTTTGGTAACCCATTCTATCTCAATCCAAACGAAAATATGGCTCAATCTCTGGTTGCTGAGTTGTTTGATGGTACAAACTATACAATGTGGAGTAGATCTATGCAAGTGGTGCTTAAAACGAAGAACAAACTGGGTTTTCTAGATGGGTCAGTTGCAATGCCTTCTAGGGATTCAGATATGTTTGGTATTTGGGATGCTTGTAATACTGTAGTCTTATGCTGGATCCAAAACTCCATGACCAAAGAACTGCGAAGGGCAGTGTTGAATCACAGTAATTGTAAGACACTTTGGGAAGAGCTGAAGAGGCGTTTTGGACAACCAAATGCCATGAGAATTGCCAACCTGGAGGATGAGATCTTGGCTTGTAAACAGGGAACTAAGTCAATCAATCAGTACTACACTGATATAAAGGGATTATGGGATGAGTATGTCGAATTTTGTCCTGTGGTTCCATGTGCTTGTGCTCCAGGTTCGACCATTCCTTGTGCTGCAGTAGCTGCTTTTGTCCAAAAGCAAGAGACAGATTATTTGATTCGCTTTCTAAGAGGAATCAACCCGGAATTTGAAGTCATCAAAACCCAACTGTTGATGCAAAAACCTCTACCCAGTGTTTCTGAAGCAGTTGATGACCTGCTCCAGCATGAACAAAAATTGAAGGCAGATGCAGTGACTGGAAGTGGAAAGAAGAACCAGTCATTGGCTCTAGCAGCAGGAAGTCAGCAACAACAGAGGGGTTCTGCAGACACAAGTCAGGGTAAGAAGTATTGTCGCTACTGCAAACGAACAAATCACAACATTGATGAGTGCTGGTGGTTGAAGAAGAAGCAGGGAGAACAACAGAAAGATGGGCATTCAAATTCCAGTTCGAGTTCCAGTTCTAGTACTCCAAGATTTGCTGGTTCTGTTGCTCAGGGTACTGGAAGTGCAGCTGGTGATCATCATCCTGAAGGTAATACAACTACTGAAGGTATGAGCCAAACTCCATTTACTTTCACTGCAGAGGAAATGGCTCGTCTCAGGAACCTGCTGCAAATTGGTACTAATGCATACCCATCACCACCTACTTCCCCATCCATCAACCACCAAGCCTTTACAGCCTCACAATACCCTACACCATTCCCTAACTTCTCAGGTAAACATATCACCTTTTCTTCTCACCTAAATCAAACATGTGATTACAACCTGTGGATAATAGACACAGGGGCCTCAGATCACATAGCCTGTTCCATTACCATGTTTACTTCTTACAGAGAAGTTAAGGATACTTATGTTTATTTACCTAACAAAACCAGAGTCATTGTAACTTGTATAGGCACAGTCAAACTACCTACTGGCCTATCACTTTATGATGTTCTCTTAGTCCCTACCTTTTCCTTCAATCTTATCTCAGTTAGTAAATTAACCCATGACCACCCCATTTCCTTACTATTTCAATCTGATCATTGTGAACTCCAGGACCTTCTAAGCCAGAGGAAGATTGGTTTGGCAAGAGAATGTAGAGGCCTCTACCAACTGGTTCTTCCTCAAAGTCCTACCCCTTTCTCTTCACCAACTTTTCACCAAGCTGCCTCAGCCTTCAACTACCAACCACAAGACCTACACTTATGGCATTGGCGATTAGGACACCCTAGTCATGACAGATTGTCTTTGCTTTCCAAATTCATCCCTGATGTAACTAAACAGAAACCATTACACTGTGATGTCTGCCATTTATCCAAACAACACAAACTACCTTTTCCTATTAGTACCAATGTAGCACCTGAGATGTTTCATTTGCTGCATATGGATATTTGGGGACCTTTATCAGTTGTTTCCTATGATGGTTATCAGTATTTTCTTACAATAGTGGATGATTATTCTCGTTGTGTTTGGATATATCTGATGAGGCACAAGAGTGAAGTAAGGGGCTTGATTCAAGGTTTTTGCAATTTGGTTAAGAACCAATTTGGTACCACAGTTAAAACTATTCGAAGTGATCAGGGCAAAGAGTTTCAAATGTGTGATTACTTCTCACAAGAAGGAATAGAACATCAGGTCTCTTGTGTGGAAACCCCTGAACAGAATGGGAGGGTAGAGAGAAAACACCAACACATTCTTAATGTGGCCAGGGCTTTGAAATTTCAATCTGGTTTACCCTTACAGTATTGGAGTGAATGTGTTTTACATGCTGTCTACTTAATCAATCGCACACCAACTCCAGTCCTGCAAAACAAATCACCAGTTGAAGTTCTTTTTCAAAACCCTGCTTCTTTGGCTCACTTAAGGGTGTTTGGGAGTCTATGTTATGCTTCCACCCTTGCTCATGGGAGAACCAAATTTGCTCCCAGGGCTAAACAGTGTGTGTTTTTGGGGTTTCCAGCAGGTGTCAAGGGTTATAAGGTTATGGATATCCATACCAAACAGGTTTTCCTGTCTAGGGATGTTGTTTTCTATGAGAAAATACTCCCTTTCCACTGTCCTGATGTCAATACCAATTCAGATGCTACTGCTTCTGTTTCAACACCTCCACAGGTGGTATCATCACCTGCTCCTGATCTACATATCCCCACTCCTCAGTTTCATCCATCCATGGATGAAAGGGGGGAACCTGAGTCTGAGTCTGAATGTCACACTAATGACCAGTCTCCTGCAAGTATCCCAACAGGTTCTCAGAGTCAGCATGAGCACTATGACTACTTTGATTCAGATGACCAGGAGTTGCTGCAGCAAGCTGATGTTGATTATGAGAATCTAGGAGATCAAGTGGTTGAGGACAGACCTCGAAGAAAAATTACACTTCCAAGTAAGTACAAGGACTATGAACTAGATTCAAGCATTTCCTTTGGTCACTGTGGGAAATCAAACTCTTGCAGCAGACATCCTTTATGTCTGAATGTGGATAGCTTGAGTCATGATGATAGATCTTTTGCACTGAATATCATGAATCTAGTAGAGCCTAGTTCATATTATGAAGCAATTAAGTCTAATGCATGGAATAGGGCTGTGAACTCAGAGTTACATGC